TTCGAAATAACGTTATTCAGGGCTTTTGTCTTTATCCTGCTAATTAACGTTGGGGGCTTCTACAGTAGTCGGGCCCGGGAGGAACCTCTGGAGGTTACCGAGTCCCTCCCACTCCGTCACGGGAGGCGCGGCCGGCCGGTGCCTGCGCATGCAACGGGAACGGCCCTGAGCCCCGGCCGAGGGTGGGGGGTTTAGGAAGCTTCACGGCAGCCTTCTCGTCATTTGTAGGGTGCTGCGCACCGCGAGGCTGCTGCATACGGCTCAGCAGCGCTTGGCCCCTTTGCCACCTCTGCCTGAGAAAGGAGGAGAAGTACGCTATGGTTTGATCCCGGAGGAGTTTTTCCAGTTTCTCTATCCTAAAACGGGAGTTACAGGTTAATATGCGCTTTTATTTATTTTTTTTTTTTTTTTTAAAATGTGTGTTTAGTTATGCTCATTTAGTTCTGACCACTGTTTCTGGCTGTTGAAAATGTAAAATATTAGGGAAAATTCTTTTTTACGTATGCTGAAGAATCATAGAATCATCGAATGTTTTGGGTGGGAAGGGACCCCCAGAGGTCACCCAGCCCAACCCCCCTGCAGGAGCAGGGACACCTTGAACCACATCAGGTTGCTCAGAGCCCCGTCCAACCTGGCCTGGAATGTTCCCAGGGATGGGGCCTCCACCCCCTCTCTGGGCAACCCCTTCCAGTGTTTCACCACCCTCATTGGAAAGAATTTCTTCCTTATATCTAGTCTAAACCTACCCTGGTTTAGTTTAAAACCATTACCCTTTGTCCTGTCACAGCTGGCCCTACTAAAAAGATTTTCCCATCTTTCCTATAGGCCCCCTTTAGGTATTGAAGGTTGAGAAGAATTGAGCCAGTGCAGCACTTCCTGGCTCTGAAGTAGGCACCTGTGCTTTAAGTAAAGGCTGAAAGAACATCACGAGCTTGATCTTGCAGGGAGATGTAGTTGCCCACTAACCCTCAAAACCTTTAAAGAGAGATTTTTTGCCTGTTTATGAATGAGCAGAAGTAGCAGGTCCCATGCAAGGTGCGAGTTGCTTCCGCTTCTAGTGAGTGCCCTCATGGTGCCCTTCCCCTCAGCAGTACTGGGTTTCTACTTTTTGGTGTGGTAGAAGAGCACAGTTCCCAATCTTCTTGCAAGCTTTAAGCTGGCTGCCTCTTAGGGGTTGGACTTCAGTGAGCCTCTTGATGCTTTGTACCAGTAACGCTCCTTTATTTTTTCTTCAGGGCCTTACATGTTGGGAACTGGACTCCTGCTTTACTTTCTGTCTAAGGAAATCTATGTAATTAACCACGAGACAGTTGCAGCCGCCTGCATATTGTCAGTCATCATTTATGGCGTAAAAAAATATGGGTCTGCTGTAGCAGATTTTGCTGACAAACTTAATGAGGTAACAACAGAAACCATAATTAACTTTGTAGTAGTTAATAACTGTTCTAAGTTATCTGCTTAAATATTTAAAAGAATACTGTGTCCAGGCTGTCAGAAAAGTCTGAGTCTAATATCTTCAGAATGTTGCTTTAATAAGATGCGTTCTAGGTCTTATGTTGCTATTGTTACATAAGTCTTCAAAAATGAACAGCCTCATACCAGCACGAATGATTTTTTTTTTTTTAAAGTACAACTGATTGTGAATCCTGATTCTTCTGTCTTGCCATCCTTCAACCTCAACCCTGACACAATGCAGTTCATGCAGACGTTTCTCAAATCTTAATGTAGAATTTCAGAAGTTAATTACAGATTGCTTGTTTTCCTTGCATCTTACTTTAATTCTGAAACATATTTTTTGTTTCTTCTTTCAGGAGAAAGTTGCTAAAGCTTTAGCTGTGAAAAACGAGGCTATTAAAGGTTTTGAGACTGCTATTGAACAGGAGAAGAAGGAGCAATGGCGGGTTGAAGGACGCAGTTACCTCTTTGACGCCAAGCGGGTATGCAGTTCCAGCTCCGCTGTTCACTTCCACTGCGGTCTGCTACGTAATCTGGGTGCCTCTTAAGCTGTGATGGAGTAACAAACCATTTACCCTCCGTGTGTCGCACGTGGGGCCAGCTCCACCGCCTGATCCAGTGACTTCTGCTGTAGAACATGCTCTGCTGCTGGTTTGTGTGCTGGCCTAACAGTAACCCTCTGATTTCATCTTCTGTCTCTAGAACAATATTGCTATGTTGCTGGAAACTAGTTATCGAGAAAGATTAATGACGGTCTACAATGAAGTAAAGAAAAGGCTGGACTATCAAGTGGCTATGCAGAATTTGAAGCGTCAGAAGGAACAAGACCACATGATTCAGTGGGTGGAGAAGAACGTTGTTCAGAGCATCACACCTCAGCAGGTACTTGCTTTTTTATAATCTGCTTTACAGTTTAGTCTGCACAAATATTTGCTGTCCAGTGATTCTGGGTTGAGCCAGACGATTATAGGTTATCTTTGGGTGACTTCCAAACGTGGCTGCAAGGCATTCCTACTGCTGAGTAAGAGCTCGCAGGCCCAGTTGCAAGGTGCCACCTGCTTGTGTTCTGGTGTTGTAAGGTAGAATCACATGTGGTGTTTGTTGCAGCATAGAGCAAAGCTGTGATAAGATGTACAGCTAACAGATCAGGGAACTGGCTCAGTAAAATGCTCTGTGTGAGACCATGGCAGCTTAAGATCTGCAGATGGGCTCTAGGTGTCCTTTCTCCTAAGGAACAAAGCAGAGAACAAAACAAGCAAGCGTGTTCCTAGCACTGCATGCAGGTGACTTAATGCAGGTCATTGTTTGGATTTGAATCTCTGACCATGAGCTATAATTGTGTCCCTTTCAAGCTGTAACTCAGTTTATGGGTGTAAAAAGGAGTATCTAAAATGCATTAGAATGCATCTTTCAGAAAGTCTGTCTTCTGAAAGCTGTTTTCCTTTCTTTTGCAGCAGAAGGAGAGTGTTGCAAAGTGCATTTTGGACCTGAAGGCGTTATCGAAGAGTGCACAGGCAGCAGTGTGAGCGCCTCCGATTCCACTGACATGTCTTGTTACTTACTGTTGGAAACTGTATGGTTCTAAAGTATCATTAAACAAACAAACAAACTACTCATTACTTCCTTTTTGTCTTTGAAGTAGCTGGATGGGTCCCATCAACTGCTGCAGTCAGTTTATAGTGGGGGATTATTTGCGACCGCAGCGTGTGGGAAAATGTGTGTTTCCTTATTTGGTCACGAGCACTTCCAGAAATGAGATGCAGAACTTCACAGTGAAAACCCTGGGGCTAACAGAGCGATCAGTTTTTGCTTTAGGATTCTGTGTGACAGTGACCTACAGGTACCCCCTGTGATTGTAGGCATGTTCTGAAATCAAAGCGAGGGCCATTACTTGGAGGTGCTCTGAATCCATGTCCTCGATTTGAAAATTAACTGAAAAAAAAAACCCCACAGCTACAACAAAGCTTCAAAGAGCGATGAAAAGGGTCTTCCTGTTGTGTGGGGAGGAGGATGTAGCTGGAAGGAAATGTACCAAAAGCTACCCGAAAACGTGGCTTCAACTGAACTCGCCAGGGCTAAGTTAAAACAGTGACATGGGTAAGGTTACTGTAGAGGGTCTGGGGTTTTAGGGGTTTTCATAGCAAAACAAGTTGCTTTTTTTTTTTCTGTAACGTGGGAAATAGTGTCTATTATGATAATACACACTGTAAAGCTTTTCATTTTATAGGAAGCTTTTTTTTTTTTTTTTTCCCTGAAGGATTTTGTTAAATGTCCCAGCTGAGCAAAGCACGTACCTGT